TGCGTGTATATGTGTATTTCTAATATACAATCAGCTGCTTTGAAGTGGTCCGACCTGAGGTACTAATGACAACCAGATATGCAGCGTGACAGAGAAAAGAAACAGAAGAAACCTCTTCGCAGAGAGGAGCATGGCAATCATATACATTATGGTTCTTTCTTTCCTGGCAGCACACAGCATCACGCACCATCCTGAAAACAAAATGGCGCATCATGTGGCGTCTACGAGGTGAGGTTACAGTAGTTGCTGTTTGACATTTTTTCATCTTTGTTTTTGACTTTCACTCAAAAGAAAAAAATCTAATAAAAAAGCAAAAGAGAAACCAATTTGTTTACCTGAAGATGCAAAAACAGTAAAATAAATACATATGTTCATAGGTTTACTGTATAGAATTTTCATTTTCATCATATAAAGGTACATTTTCCTGTGTGTGGGGTGGGTTTTTTTTTGGAATGCAGTGTAAAAAGCAGATAAAGGAAGGTTAACTCGTCCACCTGTCCCCCAATATCCCCTCTGGGTCTCTGATTTCTTTCAGTGTGAGAAATAAAAAACAAAAACACATTAAAAAAAAATAAAAAATCCCCCTGTCAAGTTTCAACCTGGAGTCATGTTCCATCTAAAAAAAGACACAATAAAGTAAAAAAAAAGAAAAACCTCCGTGAACAAAAAGCTGAGTTCGTTCTCAGAGCAGGGCGGAACCAATGTGACTTTTTGCCTCCAGGGTGAAACCAGACGACTGAATCCCAAAATGTTTGGACTTTTAGAGGAAGAAATGAGAGATTTGCATCCTCCCATGTCGACCTCGACCAGCGCTCACAGCTGTTTACTCCCCGTGGGTCTCGCTCTCGTTTTTCGTCAATCACTTGCTCATGATATAATTCCATAAGGTTTTGTTGTTGCAAAAAAAAAATACCTGAAAAGAGGTAGGGTGGCAAATATTGGTCAGTCAGACACTTGAAGCGTCTCCCTCCCCCTTCACAAGAGGGAGGCGAAACAAAGAACAGAAAAACGAACAGATAATAAAAGAAAAGAAACAGCAGAGGATACTATATTTCCCAGAGTATCGGCTATCCCTTCGCCAGGCTCCCAGGTAAGGGATACATAAAGGTACGAGGCACGGAAAGGAGTCATTATTCTGAGAATGAGGTATAGCACTTGGTCTCTGCTGACCA